TTCACCAAAAGACATAATTAAACCCTGTTATTTTATTTCGACGGGTGGCTGCGGTGTGTGGTGGTGGTGGGGCAGTGGGAAGGGAGACATCACCGCATCTTCTCGATCTCGGGGGTCCTCGACCGACTGTCAAGCCCCCCCTTCTGCTGTTGACGTAGATGTCAGGTGGCCTCGAGTGTGTCGGCACGCAGCCCAACGTGGCTCCGGGAGAGACACCGTTCATTCTCTCTGCCGCCGGGCGTCTCGTGGCCTGGTACTACATGTCGGTTGCGTGTCCTGCCAAGTGCTCGAGGCAAAGCCGAGTGGGTCTCTGGCTGACGCAATTCGTCTTGGCAAGCGGTGTCCAAACCTGTGCAGAGTCCGCGAGCCATGTGTAGGTTAATAAAGTGCCGCTGCCCCCCCACCCCACCTTTTCAGAATTTGGCCGTTCGTGTTCGAAGGGAACTTGTGGAGACGTCAGAATGCCTTGTCCCCATCGGAAAGGGCCGTTAAAGGTTCCAGCCCGTAGAGCATTTTTGAGTGGTTCGCGACGTTTTGAAAATGCTTCGGGTCGATTTTGTCACGTGAAAGTTATCCGTTCGCAGACAAATGTTGTATTACAAAGATCGGTGTGTTAAGAGAGGCCTTTTATTCCTCTTAAATTGTCCTGTGTAACTGTCCAAATCCCCCCCATACAAGCAGCAAACCGCAATTTTCAGAGAGTAATTTAATTCAGACCTGATGGAAATTACTTTCATATGTTTATGAAATTGCTTGAAGATGTAGATCTGGGCCTAGCGGGAAGTAATGTTATTTTTTCTTTGTATCTATCCCTTTTCCTCCGAGCATTTATCTGTAGAGGAGATTGTCAACGGATCTCCCGGCCTTTGGCTTCACGTGGACTTCGGTGGCCGGGCACAACGAGTTTTGCCTTAGCGCTTTGTGAATTCTTCCCGGACGGTTTTTGGCCGCGGATGTGCTCGGCACCCTCGCACTTAGGCAGCTAGAGACAATGTGGGCTTCGCACGTGCACGCCAGGCGAACACGTGCGTCGCGTTTGCCGCGCGGAGAGAGCGAGAGAGAGAGCCCTGTGCTGGACGTTTGCTTATCTCCCGCGCTGGTGATTTTGTACGACCGCGGAGATTTCGTCAGATTATTTAAAGCCTCGCCGTGTCATGATTCTTATGACTTATTGATTTTTCAGTGTCTTATGAGCATCTTGGCCATCGCAAGTGTTTTAATTGGCCACATAAATCAATGCTCGGTTATCCGCTCTGCCAGAGTGTGTGATCGTTATGATGAGGAAGCGTAACGATAAATGGACACGACAGCAGACTTCACAGCACTTTTTGAAGTTTTCCCCCCCCCCCCCCCCCCTTAGTAGCTGTAGATCCTTCCTCCTCTGAGATACTAATGAGGCTCCTGCAATTAGAAAATAAATGTATACATACATATAAACATATATCCGCGCATTATACCACCACAATCAGTACACTACCAAAAACTACTCATAGAATGATAAGTAGGTTGTTTTTTTAAAGATTGTTTTAAATATAATTTCATACAACAAAAATATATAATGCGTCATTGAGGCTCATCCATTAACATGACTTACACTCAGTCATGCATGCGCTACGACAGAGTTGATTTTGTTAATCCATATTGAGGAATACTAACGGGTGTCATGTGCGGTGCATACATGCATAATTACGGATATTCAATATGAATCAAAGTAGCTTTCTTTCATATTTTTTGCACGTAAGCTTTGCAGTGCCTTTCCGCTTTAAAAGGTACCCTATACACACGTACCTTTGTTCCTGCTTAACACAAATAATTTAACGAAGTGTATAACGCACTGCTCACTCACTGCTCAATTTTTTACTCGCTGCTCGCTCGCGCTCACTCACTGCTTACTCGATCGCTTAATTGCTCACTCACTGCTCACTCACAGCTTCACGCATTCACTGCTCACTCGATCGCTAACCCCACCCTCTGACACGCACTTCCCACCATCCCTCCAGCCATGTCCGGCGAAGTTGAAAGCGAGTCTCCGGCAACGGAGAGAGATTCTCATCGCCCGCCGTTTCTCACTCAACCATTGCCGCGTCTCGTGCGGCAGGATCCCAGAGGTCGCAACCGGGTACCCGATACCCGTACCCTACCCGATACCCGGCTACCCGTACCCGGCCGGGTACGGGTACGGGTACCCATTTGCGACCCTGGTGTGGCCGGGTACGGGTACGGGTAGGCCGTGAGTCACTGGTGAGTAACCGTTTGTCACTCATTTCCCAACGTCTTGTCTCTTCTCACAATTCAAGTTCCTATAATCAACCCACCCGCGCCTGCAACGTGGCTTCATTCCAGAGGTCGCAATCAGGTACCCGATACCCGTACCCTACTCGTACCCGGCCGGGTACGGGTACCCGTTTGCGACCCTGGTGCGGCCGGGTACGGGTAAGGAATCAAAACCCGTTTGCGACCTCTGCAGGAGCCTCCCGCGATCACCGCGATCGGCGTTTGTGCCCTGGGGGGTCCCGGCGAACGAGCGGCACAGTCGTGTTAGCGGCGCAGGCTCCGCCGGCTGCCGGGATTCAACATCTCTCAACAAAGGGCCCCATTGTGTTTGATGCCGACTGTTATTTTTGTGTGCGTGTGTTTTTTTGAGTCGGAGGCAACGGTAACCGTAGCCTGTCCATAAATTAAATGCAGGATGTTTTTTCTCGCGGCTCGCATCCAAAGTCAGCGTCAAGGGTAGACACCTAAAGCGGCAGGAGCTGAATTTTTAAAGCAAAAAAAAAATGGCAATGGAAAAAGGTTCTCGGAATATCTGGCACAGGAAGTGCAACTGGGTGGGTGGGGGGTGGGGGGCGTTTATAATAAGTCTGGATGCAGGGGCACAGTGCAGGGCAGGTGTCAGCATCGCGCTCCTCGTGCCAAGTGTGAATCCCTGTGTTTCTCGCGTATATTTTTGCTGCCCGGACAAAGCTGAATTCAGCACTTTCGCCTTATTCCATTCCACCGTCCGGACGGGGCTGCAGATTCTTCAAATAAAAACGAATGGCTCCCGTTTGATGTTTTTCCATAACGTTGTCCAACACTCGTTGGCACTTCCTGTCGAAAGGTGATTGGAATCTACAAATGACATGTAACAGTGTCGATGTGTAACGATGTGAATTCAATTAAACACGCAAACACATTTATTGTGACGATGTCTGCATTGAGTATCGAATGATTCGCTCCCCAGAGATTCGATGGGGTGTCACAATTTTGGGATCACAATTCGACTCGAGAGTTCATTATTTCTTTTATTCTCGTTTTTACCATTAAGTTTGTATATTATAGTTATGTTCACGCCATTAGCCTCACTGTAAAATGTGCATATAATGTACATATAATGTGCATACGATTTGCTACCGGGCAAGTGTTGACTTCACAAATGTATGATTCCGGACATATATTATTAATAAATACATTAAAAAAATTACGCGTGATTTTCAAAACAAATATAGTTTAACAAATGTAAACATATGTAAAATATAGTCACCCCAAGCTGTAATAGTTTAATTCTTACATCAATCCATTGCTGGGTGAAGGCTTATCAATGCTATGGTCATGCAGCGTGCTTGATCATACTTCACCGCTATGGCTGGCAATGTAAACCAGGCCTCCTGGTTTCAGAGTGCAATGCAATGCTAACGACCGTGCCCACCGCTCCTCCATCCACCAAGACATAACACTGCTGATAATGACCTCACGAAGCAGTGTTGCGCCCTCGGAACTCGGCTTTACTTTGCATGCGTTCCCATTTAAGGTCCGTGACCTCCGTTGGTAGCGCAAGCGGAAGCCCGTAGCTGCTGCGCGCGCTGGCAGGCGTGCGTGCGCGTGGGTGCGTGCGTGCGCGTGGGTGCATGCAAGCCTGCGAGCGTGCGTGATCGAGAGAGTGTGGATTTAAGGCGCGAGCAGACAGGGGCTCAGGCCGGACGTAAAACCCGCGTCTTGCTTTTCATGACTTGGTAACCGTGCGCCGCGCGGGAAGACTGAGCGATGCACTCCGTGTTGCAGGAATTTATTAAAGGGATACGTGGAGGAAATGAGCCCAGTGGGACGGATGATCCCCGAAGCCTGGATTTAGTTTAGCGCAGTTGTAAGCGGCCCCTTTCGACTGGGCAGGTTGGCGCGGTGCATATTTCTACGCGCAAAAAGTTGCCGTTAATAAAATAGCATAAATGACCTCACTGCTGTAAAGTAAATTTAGATCGCGTTTCATCGTCTTGGACAGAAGAGTGCTGACAGGCAAATGGGTCTGCGCTAACGAGCGTGTCTGCGGGGACGTTTGGACTCTGCTTGCCGCTGCCTACAAGGCCGAATGTCCGCCGCAGGACCCTTCGGGGCAACGCGGCCCCGCGTCATTGCGAGCGTGTTTACGTACTCGCTGAATGTGCGTACTGGCTGGATTTGCTGCGTGTTCCCGCTCCTGGCGAATCCGGTTTATGGCGGCAAAGTTGGCATCGCTGCCCCGCTCGCTCCGCCGCGTTGCTCCGCGCACGTGGGCGACGTGCGCCCAGCTGATGGAGGAAATTGAGAATTCTCGGTATTTGTGGTTTTATGAGGGAGCAGGAAGTAGCTTTGTATGATTGGTAGCAAAAACAGTGAATAGCAGGCCCATCGGGACAGCTGCCTGTGTTTATATCCGTTTGGTCTTTATCATGTCACACCTGTGCCTCTTGTGTTTATATGCGTGCCTTAATGTATATACACGTGCGTGTGACTGCATACACAGCGGAGGTAGAGGCGGAACCCTGCAATTGCTCGCTCGTGCCGGCTTTGGCGAGAGTGCCATCACCAGAGGGAACTCTAGAGATGCCCTCTTGGAGGGTATTTTGGCCTGCTCCTCCGCTCTTGCCAAACTTCGCACGGCGCGTACACAGTACGAGGCTTTTTGCCGGACAAGTAAGTTAAATTATTATCTTTGCCACGCATCCCATCTGCTCCTCGCCCTCCCTCCACCGCCCCGCAAACAGTGGACGAGAACCACCCTGGGGATGACCTGGCCCGCCTGCTGGTGCTCTACAACATGCACCCCATGCTGTACGGGCGCTACCAGCGGCTTGGCGGCGAGGCGGGCCGCGACGACGACGGGGAGGTGCGCGAGTTCGCCGGGCTCGTGGGCCGCGCCTGCGCCCAGCGCATGCTGCTCTACCGCCATTGACGGCGCTGCCACCGACGCCGCCGTCACCGGCGCCGCCGGTCACGGCGGCGCCGGTGCGCCTCGGGAGAGAACGGACGTGCGGTTTTGGGGAGAATCGCGGGCTCCGGGCCTGAAGGAGAGGGGGGGGGGGACGGCAGCGATGGCGCGGCAAGCGGCGAGACGTTACGGGCTCGGTGCAGGCGGCCAATTCGCCGTTGCCCCATTGGCCAAAACGGGCCAACGCTGTCGGCTCGTCGTCCTCCAGGGGGGGGCCGGTGCTGGAACGGCACGAGGTCGCAAGTCACGGGCACTCCGACCAACATGCATGCCAACAGTTGCGGCAGTAGATGCACGCCATTGCCTTAGTTACAAACCGGTGTTTATTTTGTGTGTGATTGATGGGTCGGGTGAGGCTGGAACCTGAGGGATTTGATGAAAAATAGAGAAAGAGGTGACAGTGATCTAGTAGGATTGTTCCATCATGATCCATTTGTTTCTGCTGTGCTGGCCACCGGCATGTTGTTAGACCAGAGCCTCCCGATTCGTTTGCCTTGACCATGTAACCGTTGGGATTATGCGATTGCCGATGTTCTCTTGGCACCTTGCCGTTACGTTGTGATAATTCCGCACGTCTGTGTAGGTTTCTGCAAGTGGTAATCCAGGGGTACGTTCAAGGGGACAATTGCATGCCGGCCGTGAGTGAGTAGAGGCGGTTAAGTAATCAACATGCGGGGAATGTGCTTTGTTTGTGTCTAATGTATACGCATAAACACCTGCACGTTCAGACAATTCTCGATTATCTGGGAAAATGGGGAGGGGTGCCCCAGAAAAAACATAACGAGGGACATGCAAAAACCTGTCAATTTGGCCGTGAAAATGTATTGAGGATGTGTCGTCTGGTTTTATCGCTCCGATAAATAATCGGTTCATTTGGCGACGCGGTCGAGATCGGGCACCGAGTCACCATCCTGCGAGGAGCGAGGAGAGGAGCAAATTGAACGAAGCGCGATTGATCCACATCCCAAATAATACGCCAACGGAATAATCGAGAATTGACTGTGTGCTTATTAAGTCTGAATTTTTTTTATTGAATTACATATATAGATATGAACAGTGACCGCTTATCTTACTCCATTATTCAATTGTCATGAATAACATAAAGCAGATGACACTATCTTTCCTTTTTACATTTTATTTTTGTGGCATCGAAAAGATTCACGTTTTGCCATATGTCTTAAGGTTAATATTTTACGGAGTATGTGTGTGGGCACAGTGGGAGTAAGCAAAACAAATTCAAAATGAAAATGCTGTGGAGAAAGTTTATTGTGAATGTGGGTTACATTCTGGCCAACGTGCTGAGAAGACATATCTAAAAGAAAAAGGAATTGGCCTTAAAAGAGTGTATCGACTGCGGTTTTCATTTAAGTTCATGGCAAATGGTTGATCTTTTTTCCCGTGTGATTCTCTTTCATTTAATTCCAGAGATTTACCAATAAAAGGTTTCATTCAGCCACATTGTCTTTTTGTTTTTTAACTATTTTTTTTATTCACTAAATAAATCTCACCGAGTATTACAGTTCTCTTTCAGAAGCGACCTGGACAAAAGTGATAGCTCAACGAAGTGGCTTATCGCGTGGAAATGTATCACCGCCATATACTCAAAACGCACCCTTCCAAACGTGGAGGGAAAAACCGGAGGACTCCGAAGAAAAATCCACGCGACCGCAGGGAAGAACGCGCAAACTCCAATAGAAAGCAGGCGTCAGGGTCTGGATCGAACTCACGACCTCATGTATACCAGGCGAGGTAGTTAACATCTCGTCCCCGTCATTTTCTCGAGGATGCGCGAGCCATCCCCGTGCCTCCCGGCTCGCACAGGCGATGCTTGTGGTGCTCCTGAGGACAACTCGTGGCCCACAAATCGCTATGGCCATCTGCACACGGACGTCACGGTGTGGCAGAGGTCGCAACCGGGTACCCGATACCCGTACCCTACTCACTCACAGCTTCACGCATTCACTGCTCACCTGATGGCTCACCCCACCCTCTGACACGCACTCCCCACCGTCGCCTCCAGCCATGTCCGGCGACGTTGAACGCGAGTCTCCGGCAACGGAGAGAGATTCTCATCGCCCGCCGTTTCTCACTCAACCGTCGCCGCGTCTCTTGTGGCAGGAGCCCAGAGGCCGCAACCGGGTACCCGATACCCGTACCCTACCCGATACCCGGCTACCCGTACCCGGCCAGGTACGGGTACCCGTTTGTGACCCTGGTGCGGCCGGGTACGGGTACGGGCAGGCCGTGAGTCACTGGTGAGTAACCGTTTGTCACTCATTTCCCAACGTCTTGTCTCTTCTCACAATTCAAGTTCCTAGAATCAACCCACCCGCGCCTGCAACATGGCTTCATCCCAGAGGTCGCAATCGGGTACCCGATTCCCGTACCCGTACCCAGCCAGGTACGGGTACCCGTTTGCAACCCTGGTGCGGCCGGGTACGGGTAAGGAATCAGAACCCGTTTGCGACCTCTGCGGTGTGGTACGTGCGTCGTACGTGCGTCACAGTGGGGTACGTGCGTCACCCGTCCGGTGACGTCTCTCAGTCATCGGAGCGAACGGAGATCGACGCAGTCGAATTACGCTGCACTTCGAGACAAAACCAATCGATTTGTTTGAAGGTGAAGGTGCAGCGACCGCAATTGCTTGCCCACACCACTGCTGGCAGAACGACCTCCAACAGAGGGTGGCTTTTGATTGTCCCCGTTATAGAGGGTATTTGGCCTCCTCTTCAACGCCGGTAAATGTATACATTGCATACATTAGACTAGTTCCTGCTCTGTTGTGCGAGGGTTAACGTCACACGTGAAATAAACAATTGCCTTTGATGCATTTCATAGTTTTCTGTGTGAAAGACCTGTGCGCGCGTGCACACGCATGCTGTTAACATTTTTTTTATGACATAAATGGAACTCGCCGCAAGAGATGTTTCATCACAGCTGTGTGGCAAGGCTACAGATTTTTTTTTTATCATGTGAATACATAAATAACCGATTGACGATCGCTATTAATCTCAGGGCCAGTGAATAGTGCCAATATGCGGTGTTTATTTTTGCTGTAACTTTGGATATGTGGGGTTATTAAATGTAAACAAGATTTGTACATTGTTGCTGCACTCCATCTGTCTTGTGTCCCAGAGGCCAATCGACCGGGATGGTGATGTCAGTGGACCACAACTCCTTGCAGCTCTCTTCATGCCAGCCCAAACCAGAGCAGGGGGAACTGCCATGTGTCGCGGGGGTTGTGATGTTTATCTGCAATTTCCTATATCAGCAAATGTAACTTTTTTTAACGAGCAGTCCAGATTGCTGCAAACGGTTTGAAATCGGTGGCTTGAAATTAAATGTCAGTTGGCGTGCCAGCGATGGAGGCTGCTTTGGCAGCCTTCCTGTTTGGAGATAAATGTTTGGAATTAAACGCGCTCGTTATGCGCAGGAATCTGAGAAATTAACTCGTGAAATAGAACGACGCGGAGTGTTTGGACCAAGATGGTGCTCGCGTTCATAACGCCGTCCCAAGAGTTTGGAAGAGCATACTTGGGCTTGGTTACTAGTTTAGTAAAATTTGGTGGCTTTCTCGACGTGAAAACAAACCTTTAATTTGACGAGCAGGTGTTTGTGGTGAGGCATTCGGAGGCAGGGGCACAGAGCTGCCAGAGAATGTGCAGAAAATGTTAATCGCAAATTCGGTTTGTCCACAATAAGATAAAAACAATATTTGTTAGTCGGAAATTAGACGGGTGCATATTTATTTCGTAGTTGGCATGTCCAGCAGCTATGTGACAGGGGGGGGGGGGAATGAATGCTTGTGAAAGGCTTGCGATGTATTGCGTGTGTGTTCACGTTCATTTATTAGGTAGAGCCCTGTGAGCCATTCGGCTCTTGAATCGGGTGCAACCGCAACAAACAAAAAGCAAAACATGAACAAGAAAACATCTTAAAGTGACTATGTGACGATGTGCAAACAGAAAATCCAAGAACAGACAGCAAAATATTGCAAAAAAAGCACCGTACACCAACGCTATGTGCAAAATCCCAGTGGGATGCAAGTCAAACAACAACAACCACAAGACAAATGAGATTAAGGCCATCTGTCTAACTGTACTACAACAAACAAACATGGCCAAACCAAAAAACTTTTCGAAAAATCACCTAAATAAAGCCATAAAAGCAATGAAACAATGATCATAGGAACTGTGACCGAATTTTCACAATAAACGTAAACAACATGTACCGTCCGAGGACGGGCAAAATGCGAGTATGGTAATTTTTACGAGAGTTAATAGTGCACCCCAATGACAGGGACATGGGCACAGCCAATGGATTTTAAAATAAAAGCTTCGGACATGGAGATGCCGGGGATTGAACCCGGGGCCTCACACATGCAAAGCGTGCGCTGTACCACTGAGCTACATCCCCACCACACTGGCTCAGTCTGAACCCAGTAACGTGACCTCGTTGTGTAAGGGGGCTATCGGGGTCATGGCCTGAGTTGAAGAATCTACTCGGAAATCTCGCAGATCGATTCCTTTTCCCGTTTGTTAGATAGCGGCACTTGGAAGCAAGCATTACCTGGGCTACGTCCGAGTACCTTGAAAGCGACATCTCATCCACATTAGGGGTCATCACAAAGAACACACAGCTTGATGAATGTGGCCCAGTGGCCTAATGGATAAGGCACCAGCTTCCGGAGCTGGGGATTGTGGGTTCGAGTCCCATCTGGGTCTTTAGTGTTTTGGTAAAAATTCAACGATCATATTTCTTCAAATCACAAGTTGATTTCTCATTCAATTACCTCGGCAAGTTTTACCTCTACTCCTATAAATACAATTTCACAAGTATCCTGATATAATCTCACTCGTTGAGTTAGCCTTCAGCGATGAGGACTCCAGACTGATTTTCGTCTCACCCACTCCGTTCGACCACCACTCGGCAGGTCACAACACTTTTTTATCGGCTTCTTCCACGCACTGCTCGAATTTGGAAGCCCATCCTGCGGTATCACGTCTAATAAACTTGATAATTTCCATAAATATGTTGACTCTTATCGACGACAATTTTGATTGTAGTGCTGTTCAATGCTGACCGTATGACATGTTGGGCTTCTGGATCTGTGCTCAGCAACCATAACGAATGAAAACAAGTAGGCGTTTTTGTCCAGGCCACGCATATTCCTTCGAGTAAAATTGGCCACTGGCAAAATGTCACTTCGTGGAGATGCCGGGGATTGAACCCGGGGCCTCACACATGCGAAGCGTGCGCTCTACCACTGAGCTACATCCCCATTCCGGTTCTACCTGGGTGCAGTTCCACCTAGGTACGGGGTGAAACTTCATCATCAGCTTCTTTCTCTCCCTTGTCACCGCACTCACTCTCCTGTTGGCCCTGCTGAGGCAGGAATAAATATAGCGGGAGAGCTCTGACTTTGGCTGCAGTAGCTCTCTCGCTAAATTTATTCCTGCCTCAGAAGTCCGCCTGCTGTATTTTTAAATCCTTTATATTAAGTTCACTTGCGTGCTTGCTTACGACCGTGCAAATCTTTCGGTCGTTTTTTAACCCACTTCCCGTGATCCAATCGAGCTGACATTTTCCACACAGACTCGTTGTGCGTGACAATGCATTTTCCTGAAAAAAATTCCAAAATTTTACACTGTTTAGGGGAATTTTTTAAAATATTTAATTACCAATTGTTTAATGCTGCCAGACAATCATCTGATCCATAGGTGGCAGCCATCTCAAGCCAGAGGACGAGAGGACTCTAGCCGCCCCGATGCCACGCATATAAAGGATTTATAGTGAAAAACTTTGTTTTTACGGGTTAATTTTTTCACCTGACGACGATTGCTCGTGTTGCGATCGAAACGTCGTGATTTAAAAAAAAATACATCTGCGTGAGTTCACCGAAACACCCAAAGAATAAGTCGAGGTTCTGGAAATCGATTCGAGTCAGGAAGTGATTTGTCTTCATGTTGTGGTAAAAGTAGCGGCCATGAGAAACTGTGGAGGTGGCGTCATACGAATCGCAAAACATTGATTCTTAACATACACGATTCGACGTGTGTATTGCCGACTGACGAATCGGTATTTACATATTGATGCATCGGTGCACCGCTCTATACTTCGAAGGCTGTCCCTGCTTATCTTGAATTTTATTACAGATATTGTCCTAATAAAAAAAAACATGCTCATGGTAACGAGTTTCACCGTGGTGGTGAGATGTTAACTATCTCGCAAGCTATACCAGGGGTCGTGGGTTCGATCTCGAGCCTGACGCCTGTATATTTTGAGTTTGCATGTTCTCCCCGTGGTCGCGTGGATTTTTCTCTGAAAAAAATAGCTGTATAGCTCAGTGGGTCTTACCTGGTAAAATAAAAAAAACAGTTGAAATAGTTTTTAAAATCGTTTCCGCCGATTGGAAGTGACAATTTTCTGCATGGTTATTGGGTGCCGACAGC